GCCGGCAGGCCCCCCCAGTGTCATGTCGTGCACCTCGTGGATCAATAAAGTCATCCCGCGGGGCGCTTAAACGTCAGCGAGACGCGTTGGGCGGGCCGGGCCGGGGACGGGCCGGGGGCGGCGGCTGGGCCCAATCCATGCCTTTGGCAACGCTTCCATGAGCCACGCAGCGGCCGTGTCCCCTGACGATGTTCCCCCCTCACGTGCCAGCAATTATTTCGTTTCCCGACACCGCCGGTCGTATCGTCATTTTGCTTTCGCCCCAAACATCACAGGCGAAATAATGACTGCACGGGCCGGGCGCCCACGCCACTATATGACTATTATTCCGCCCGGGACATTTTGGCTTTGTTTCGTGCGAGAGGCCAGTAGTCTCGTCGGGTGACAACCGTGTGCTTTCAAATCAACGCACGAACGGTCCGCGAACGAAAACAACAACCGCATGAAATAAAAGCGGCGGTGCCATTTTGGGTGATGCTGCCGCGCGCGCGTGTGGGAGCGCGCTAGCGCACAGGCGTAGCCGGGCGAGACTCTTTCCCAGAATTATTATAATATTGAATCAGAGTACCTCTGGGAGCTCGTGGCCTGCTAGCAGGGGCGGGGGTGGAGACACGATTCTCCCTGTAAATGACGGGGCGTTGAGGCGTCGCGGGGGCGCCCCGCTCGCCGTGCCGTGATGGAGCGCCGCGCGCCTGGGTACGGGTTTTATCTACGGGGCGCAGCCAGCATTCCTCGCGCAGTGGAGCCGAGGCCGGGCGCACAAAATAATGGTAATGAAGGTTGGCCGCGTGCCTCCGGCGGCGAGGCCCCCGCCGAGGCCTCCGGCTGGCTGTTGGCGCCCCGCTGGCGCCCGCTTGTCCTGCGAGGACGCGCGAGCGCATGCTCGCAGCAGCCGGAGGGCCTTCGCCTTGCCTCGCCCAGGGATAGCACCCGCTCCCTCCCCCCAGGGCCGCGCGCCACCTCGCCGCCCTGCTGGTCCTGCCCGCCGGGGGCAGAGAGCCAGGGGGCGCGCGGCGGCGGCGCAGCTGCGGCATAGGTAGGTGGGAAAGGTTTGCGACCCCCCGAGCCCCACGTCTGGCGGGGAGGCGGGGGCGGAAAGTGAAACGGCGTGGTGCGGCAGATTGCTTTTCGCATCAGTGCCGCCGCCGCCCCCACGGGCGAGCCTGCCGGCTCTTCTCCGCCAGCGCGTCTCAGAGTCTCGCGCTGCTCAAGTTGCAGTTTATCATTGTCTGTTCAGATATCAGCGAATACATTCTTGATTGTGTCATTTAACCTTCTTTTCTCTCAGTTCTCGTGTTTGGAGACGACGATTACGTAGTTACTTGTGTTTCGGTAAGCGTTCGGTTATGTGAGCTCTTACGATTGCTTTCGTTTGTTGTGTTGCAGGCCCATGGTGATGACGAAGCTGTAAGCGATGGGCGCCAAGGCCGCGTCCAACACGCCCGCCCCTGCGGGATCGCGGGGGCAGCAGAAGAAGAAGATGCCTCGCAGCCCATCTCCCGCCGGGTCGCCGTCGGCCGGCCGCGGTGACGTCTCCCCGACGCGGTCCCGACAGGCAGCAGCCAAGCCCGCCCCCAAGAAAGCGGTGGCCACCAAGAAATCCGCCCCCACTCCGGCCCTTAAACGGCCAGCACCGAAGACTTCCAAGGCGGCAGCCTCCAAGCAGGCGGCGCCGACCCGCGGCGCGGCCTCCAAGACGGCCTCCGCCACGACCAAGAAAAAGAGCAGCCCGGAGCCAAAGAAGTCCTCCAAGAAGGCTTCTGATACCAAGTCTAGTCACAACAAGTCCTCCTCCGGCTCTGCCAGCTCATCGCCGACCACCTCTACCGAGAATATCGCCGAAAAGTCCGCCGACCAAAAAGCTAGTACCAAAAAGAATTCCGCCTCCAGCGAAACGGCTAAGGCCATGCCAAAGAAGCGCGCGCCGCCCGAGGCGCCCGCCACCAAGTCCAAGAAGGCCGCCTCCAAGTCAGTGCCCGAGGACACGACGGCCGAGGACAAGGGCGAGACCGCCGAGTCCAAGCCAAACTCCCCGCGGCCCAACAGCAAGAAGGGCGGCGCCAAATCAGCAGTGGACAAGACTAGCGCCGCCGACTCGAGGAAGAAGGGCGGCCCCGACAACGCCGACAAGGCCAAGAACAGCAAGAAGGACGCCAAGGGCTCGAGACAGAAGCGAGAGGAGTCCGCCTCTCCGACGCGGAAGGCGTCGCCGCAAAAGAAGGTAGCCGGTGAGCCGAGCAAGGCCAAGAGGGCCGCCTCTCCGAAGAAGGAGACCAACAGCAAGAAGAAGCCTGCGTCTCACAAGAAGGCCAAGCCCAAGGAAGAAGCGAAGCAAGACAGCAAACAGGGCTCTAAGCAAGACGCGAAACCGTCGAACAAGAGGAAGGCCTCCGAGAAGAATGATGACGGCAAGGCGAAAACGGCAGCCAAAAACGCCGACACCGACAAGAAGGCCGCCGGACTGTCGCCCAGCAAAGCCACGGCCGAGGAGGACGAGCGCAAGAAGCTGGTGGCCAAGCGCAGGCTGAAGTCGCCCGCGCAGTCACCGCGTAGGGACGCGGAAGAGGACAAGCCGACGGGCCGCGCCCCGCCCAAGAACCTGAGCGATCTCATCCACACCGATCCTACGCCTGGCGGCCAGGCCGGCGTGGAGCAGGCTGTCGAGGGCGTGGAAGCCAAGCGCCTGGCGCTCGTGCCGCTGGCCGGGGCTGTCGCACTGGCGGTGCGGCCGCGAGTGCAGCCGGCCGTCACCATCCGCAAGGCCCGCTGGAACGACACGCACGTCACCAAGGCCGCCCTGTCGGACCAGGAGCGGCGGCGCCGGGAGATGGCGCAGCGCAGCCTGGAGCGCGCCGCCCCCACCATCCAGGCCGCCAAAGAGAAGCTGGCCCAGTGGAAGGCCATGGTGGAGCGCGAGGCCGCGGCGGCCGCCGCGTCTGCCGCGGGGCCGACCGCCCAGGGCCAGCCCCCTGCCCAGCAGGACGAGGACGATCTGCCGCTCAAGTGCCTGGCGCCGCTGGTCACCGTGGAGGAGGTTCGGCCACCAGAGGCCGCCGGCCTCCTCGGCTCCTTCAAGATCGACGCGCACGCCTCGCTCATGTCACGTATGGGCGGCAACATGTCGTCCGTGCCGCACAAGAAGCGGCCCTACGCCGCCAAGCAGATTGCCACCACGACCACGACCACCACGACCACGACCACCACCAAGGTGGTGCGCAAGTCCGTCGAGGCTAAGCGCGACGTGTACGAGTTCGGCGTGTCCAGCAGCGACCACGGCATGTCCGAGGACGAGGAACCGCTGCACCGCCTGATGGCCAAGAAGAAGAAAAAGAAGGCCAAGTCGGACCGGGACTCGGACCAGTCGGACGCCGGCGAGCGCTCCGACCACGACGAAGCGAAGAAGGGCAGCGGCAGCGATGACTCGGACGCCAAGCGGTCCCGGCTGATGGGCTTCTGGAACGGGCCGAAGCGCCACCGCCTCGCCTCGCTCAACGCCAAGGCCAAGGTGCGCGTCATGTACTCGGACGAGAACGTGTCGGTGAGCAAGCGCGCCGCGGCCAGCCGGCGCTCCGACAGCCGCTCCAAGGAGCGCGACCGGAGGGCGGCGGAGCAGCGGCCCGCCATCAAGCAGGCGCCGCGGGAGAAGACCAAGAGCGGGCAGCGCGAGGACCGGCGCCGCGCCGCCCAGCAGGATGGCCAGCAGGGCGGCCAGCAGCGGGACACGTCCGACGAGGACGAGGACCGCGACGAGGAGTCGGAGGAGAGCGAGCCGCCCTCGCCACCTTCCACGCGCGTGCTGCGTACCGGCCACGGCATCCGCGGCGTGGGCAGGAACTGGGACGTCAACAACCTGTCGTCGTCGTCCTCGTCGCCGGCGCCGTCCTCCTCGTCCTCGGACGAGGACAGCGACTCGGAGGACAAGCGGAAGCAGCAGCGCGCGCGACGCTCCACCGGGTCGCCGGCGAGCAAGCGACGCAAGACGAGCGGCGGCCGCGGCAAACAGCCGGAGCAGCAGCTCGCGCTGCGGGACATGGTGGTGAGCAAGAGGATGGCGAGCCTGAACGCGGCCGCCATCATGCAGGCCAGCTACTGCCTGGAGAAGCGCACCAGCACCACGACCACGAGCACCACCAAGGACTCGACCACCATGGAGGAGAAGAAGGAGGTGAAGGAGGTGAGGACGACCGTGCTGTCGGCTCAGCTGCCCCCCGAGGTGCAGCCGTCCGCGCCCGAGCCCCGCGCCCAGGTGCAATCACAGGCGCAAGCCCAGACGCAGGCTCCGGCCTCGCAGGAACCTCAGGGCCCGCAGGGCGAGCAGGCCCCGCCCGTGCCGCCCGAGCAGAACGCCAACGGCGAGAACAAGACCAAGCTGGCCGATGAGCTCATCGACCTGATCGCCACCCCGGACGGCCGCCACACCATCATCCTCAACCGGGACGACGTGACCATCACGGGCGTGTACGTGCGCAACTCCACGCACTCGCTGACGCACTCGGCCACGCACGCCGAGGGCTTCTGCTCCATTGCCGGCCTCGAGTACCGCATCAGCTCCACCAGCCACACGAGCACCGAGGCCACCGCCGTCACCACCGAGGTCACCCTGGCGGCCAACAACGAGGTAAGGGGTGGCGCCGACACGCCCGGGCCCGGCCCAGCCAGGCCGTGGTCTTCGCCAGCGGCGCCCGATCGATGCGCTCGGCTACACCGCGTCGCACCGCGCCCTCGCCCCGCCGCGCCCGCGCACGGCGACGCGCCGCGGGACGCGACACCAGCCGGCGCGGCGGCGGTCCTTGGCGAGAGATTTGCGGGGCAGGGGTCAGTGTGTGGTAGCGGCCGCCGGGGAGGGGGTGGAGGGCGACGAGGTCACGCTGAGCGGGCCGGGCGGGGCGGGCGAGCGGCGAGCAGACCAGCGCCCGCCAGCAGCGCCCTTGTCCGTGAGGAGGAGGCGTAGAGAGGATTTGCCCGGACCTTTTACCTTGATTGTTTCGAAAGTTTGCCTCGCTTCTGCTCGACGCAGCAAGGAAACCGATATTTGCCCATCAGCCAGGCCTGCCCCTCACCCACTCCACCCCTCTCCCGCCATGCCTGCTCGGGGTCATCCCTTGTCACGACGCTCTCCGGGCAGTGGCAGTAAAGCAAAATAATACGCCCATAACTCGGCCGGACCACTCTGGCCGCCCCGCCCCGTCCGTCCTCCGTCCCTCCGACCGTCGCGTGCCTGTTGCAGTCGCACAAAGTAAGCGTCATAAAAAAACTAGCGGCTTGCTCCGTACGCGCTCGCTCGCGCCCTGCCGCGGTCGCGGACGCGGAAGTCGCGGGGGCGTGGAGGGGCGCCGTCGAGGCGGGGCGGGGGCGGGGCGGGGGCCGCGTGCGGCGCGACGAGGTGTGGCAACGACATTCAAGCACGCGTTACTGTCGGCTCCGCAAGAAACATGTTTATTCACCCCGCGAACGAGGGGGTAGGGGGCCGTGGGGGCGGCGCCGCCCCCGGAGAGGAGGAAAGGAGGACAAGAGTGAGTAAAGCCGGAGGAGGGAGTAGGAGGTGGAGCAACGACGCCCGTGGGCGCGCGGCGAACGAAGAGAAGAAGAAAGGAGGGAAAGGTGTTGCCGGGAATTAACTCTAAGGGCCTCACTGACGGCTGAAATTTAGGGCAGCGCGGCGGCCCTTGCTGCCGAACACTCCATCTTGCCTCCCGCTGGGCGCGTGTTGGGCTTCACGTTGAAGGGAAGGGGAGGGGGAGGAGTGGGTGCGCGATGCTACAGCCGAGGGCTACTTACAGCTTACAGCCTCGGGGGGGCTGGTGACACCACGCGGGGGCTGTTTGAAACAATAGTGGAAAAGAGCGAAACCCCCGATGTAGCAGTTTACAGAGCGGCTTTTACCGCGGCTCTCACTTGCCAAGCCAAACACGCTCTGGTTGTTATGAGAAACTTTCATGTCAGATCGGATAGCACAACGTGCGCTGTTGATGAGGGGAGGGAAGTGGCAGAACCGCCATGACACTTTCTAATACGAAGGCAAACGAAAACATCGGTAAGTCAGCAATTTTTTTTGTTCCCTCCGCACGCACTTTTTTTGAAAATACAAATTCAGGGGTGAGAATGCCTTATTAAAACCTGCGCCGGAGTAAAAGCCCTGAGCTGCGTTTACCTTTGTCGGTCGGTTTGAGGAGGAAGGGGAGAGGGGGGGGCTGATTGCCGTAGCGCGGTGCGGAGTGACGAAGTTTGCGGCAACTTGAACCCCATTCTATCGACGTTAATTAACCGCTCGCCGGGAAACAAAAGGGTGGCGATGGGACGGGGAGGAGGCGCATTAGCCATTCGCGATCCAGGCGTTCGCAGCGCGTGCGTGCGTAGGAGAAAGGGGGGGAGAGAGAAAGAGAGAGAGAGAGAGAGAGAGAGAGAGAGAGAGAGAGACAGATAGACAGACAGACAGACAGACAGACAGACAGACAGACAGACAGATAGACAGACAGAGACCGAGAGACAGAGGGACAGAGACAGACAGATGCAGGGTATAGAATGACCACGATTGTCAGATGTTTGGCACTGGTCCTTTTCTCTCGGTTAGAAACCACCCAGATCCAGGACTATAACCTGATATTTTATGGGTACTTCTGTGCACCCTGGCTGGCAAGGTTTCTGGGCGATTCCGGACCGAGGAAAAAGGAACAGTGCCAAACAGTTGACAATCGCGGCCAGTCTAAACCCTAAGACAAAACGACGGACAGACAGACAGACGGACAGACAGACAGACACACAGAAAGACAGAGACAAACAGTCGACTGAATACTCTAACAGGTCCATCCGCGTTGTTTCGTGCGAATAATACATAATGCATTTACAGCCGACGAGAAACAAACACCCCCCTGCGATTACTGCCCGGCTAATGGTTAGGAGAGGGGGGGAGAGGGGATCCCCACCCGCGTGGAGCTCACGGCCGATAGTGGGCGCGAGTCTGTTCGCGCGCGGCGACACCGGGGGTGGCGTGGGACGGGCGGACTGCGATTGGGGGCTTACTTTTCGGGGTCGGGGCGTTCCGCCTCCGCCCCGCCCCGCCTCGCCCCGCCCCACCCCGCTGTGCCCCCGTCACGCAGCGAGCGGGCCGTCTGGTGGCGGGGGCTCTGGCCGGACGGGGTGGCCGACGTGTTAAGGGGACTCAACTCTGTCAGGGGCAAGAGGGCCATCTCCAGAGGGCGCGCGCTCGCCCGGGCACACCGTGCTGTCCTCTCCCCCCTTTCCACCCACCCCACGCCTGCTCAGAGAGCTGGAAAATGGGCGAAAAGGAGTGGGAGGGAAAGGGTCGGAGCCAACGCAGAGGTTTCAATGGGCTGATAAAAAGCTTGTGCGGGGGGCGGGGGCAACCCACTCCTGGCGGATGGGGTGGGATGGCGCTGAGGAGGGGGTCGGGCGGCGGGGGGGGCAGCGGGCCGGCCACGGAGGGCAAGGCCCGCTAAGGCCGTCCGGAGCTGGCGGGGCGAGCCGTTTTTCGTGTCGTAAAAGGCTTGGTCTGGGGCGCGGGCGAGGGGCGAGGGGCGAGGGGCGGTGGGTTTGTAGCAGAAACGCCGCGCTGTCGGGGGATGGGATGTCATGTAGGGGAGCTCGTAACACTTACACACACGCGCGGCGCACCACTGAACGCTGATGAATGCGGCGCGTTTCCCACTCACAAAATATGTACGTTGTGCCAAGGGACATGATGGAATGGGCCTTTTCTGAAACAAAGAAAAAGGGAGATATTTATTTCAAATAAATATTATTTTTGACCTTGTTAGTGGGGGAGACAAAATGATCACTTGTTTGATTTTGTTAAACATTCAAAGCCAATTTTAGTTTCAGGATCATGACAACCCGTGTTGGATAGTGAAAACGAAAACAATCGCGAGAGTGTTATGAAACTTGCGTATGCGAATTGTGAAATGGCTACGCATATACTTTTTGCCAGCGGCAGCCTACTGTCCCGCCCGCGGCGGGGCCCTATCGTATCCCAGAATGCCGTGTACTTACGCGAGACGCGCCGCACGGCCAGCACTTTTGGGCCTTATCAGCGACTCGCATGCGTATTCGAACGAACTTGATACTGCCCCACCACGCCCCGCCCCGCCCACCCTGTCGAGGCCCCCAAGGCCGCGTTGCGCCACGCCAACTCCCGCTCCACCCCCGCAGCACCACGGGGAGGGTAGTAAAACGGGAGGAGGATGACCGCTAAAGCGAGGACCAGCAGGTCAGACCGTTGGCCCCGGTGGGGCCGGGCGGGGCAGGGCGGGGTAGAGCGTGGTAGGGTGGGGCGGCAGGGTGGAAGTGCCCTGGCGACACCTATAAACTTGCCGCTCGGATCGTCGGAGCGTCAATATCCCCACGCCGCGGCCTTCGTCAGTATGTGTGTGCGTGTGCGTGCGTGTGTGTGTGTGTGTGTGTTGTACGCCCCGGGCTGAACAGGGCACGGGGAGGGAGGGAGGGGGCTGTGATGGCGCTGACCGCCGGCCAGAGGCATTCGAGAGTAGATCGAAGCACGCGCGCGTGCGGCCCGTTCCATCATGCCGTCGGGGCTGGAGGAGCAGGGAGTGAGCTGGGCGGCGGCGGCGGCGCTGTATACAGGGAGAGCAGCGTCGGTGACCTCGCCAGCCAGGCCCC